CGATTACAACTAGACGGCCCCTCCCCCACCTCGCCTTCCCTCTTCCTCTGCTGGATCTTGGAAGGAGCATTCTCTGTGCCTTCCCAAGTCCCCGTGGGGGACCTCCTATGTTGGAGTGGGGTATGGGGGAGGGTCATATAATGAAGGCCAGAAAGAACAAATTAGATAATCAAAAGAATTATAGTAATTGCTTTCACTTTCCCGGGCCCGCTCAGCGGATTCTCTCTCCGCCCTTTCCCTGGCTGTCTGTCTGTCGGGAACACTCGGTCTTTGCGACCCCTCCCCTCCCCCAGGTTCCTCCTCTCCGATCCCCTCGCTCGCGCGTTCCCTCTCTTCCTCCGTTTTCTGGTGTGCTGGAACGTTCAGCGGAATATGATGAATGATCACCTGTCACGGCTTGTTTATTATAATGCAGGCAATCAATTACACATCCCCAACGCTGGCCGGCCCGCAGGAAATTTATATGCTCAGCACAAACCAATGTGAAAATGGAATCTCATTTGCCAAATGTCTCTCTCCCAGTACAGCACGATGATTACAGTCTGTGTTTGTTTCAACAGTCGTGTACAACTGACAGTGCCATCATTTACTGCCTGGCTCAGGTCACGTTACTCTAAGGCTTTATTTATTATGTTAGGAAGGCCAGCACAGGAAAAGGACAAGGGTGTCTGTCAGGGATGCCACCGTGTTAAGAAGTGGGCGGGCAGGGCCGCATTTCCGGGCAACAGTGTCAACCTCAGCCCCGGGCCCTGCCTCCCCGGCCACAACCCCAGCTGCCCAGACTCCAAGACAGGACAGGGGAGGCAGCTCTGTGTAGGAGAAGCTCCACAGGTTCTGGAATCAGATGGACCAGAGTTTGAACTCTGGTTCTCCTGTTGTCTAATTGTGTGCGGCAGGAGCTCAATCTCCTCATCTGGAAAATGGGAATTTTCATACCCCCCCCCACAGGAATATTGTGATGTCTGGGATGTCAGAGGTGTTGATAAATGTTAGTTCACAGTGACTTCAGAAAGAGGTCCCTTTGGAAGAGATGTGAATTGGAATTCATGCTCTGTATTAACAGTCTCCCCAGTTTCTACCTGCTGAGACACGGCTGTCTCAAGACTGGTTCCCTTCCTGGAGGAATTTTGCATTTTTGTTTTCTCCATACCAACACCTAGTACAACTTTGGGAAAATAAAAGGGCCACCTTGCTCTGCTTCTGTTTCTGTCCTTGTAAAAACTGGAGTAGCAATCCTGGCCTTTCTAGCGGTGTGACCTCAGTCCATTCAGTCTCTGGGCCTCTCCAAACTTCAAATTTCTCACCTGAGAAGTGAAAAAAAAAATCACTTCTAAACTGCCTTCCCCAGTCTGGCTGTCAGGACCCAAGGTGTCCACAGATATAAAAAGTGTCATGTAAGCTGTAACGTGAGGCTCTCACTGCTGTCTGACATCCTTTTGTCAGGAGTTCTGGTTGGTCTCCAGAGTTTTGCTGCACAAAGCCTTGACCCAAATTTGGACTCCTAGAGCACTTACATCAAGTGGGAACTCAGTAAATGAGGGGCAGGCAGATTCTCATATGTATATTTGGTTCTTCTTTATTATGTTGTATATTTCTTGATTATTTTACATGTGTATTTGTTTAATGGTTCTCTGACCTGCTAGTATGGAAGCTCCAGAAGGAAAGGCACCAGGTTGATTTCAGTCACTTACTATGTATATTTGGTTTTTCTTTATTATGTTGTATATTTCTTGATTATTTTACATGTGTATTTGTTTAATGGCTCTCTGACCTGCTAGTATGGAAGCTCCAGAAGGAAAGGCACCAGGTTGATTTCAGTCACTTACTTGGCAAATCCTAAGGTGCTCAGTAAATACTTGTGGCTTTATGGGTGAATGAATGAACAGTTACATGGACAAACTCTTTAGGGGAGCAGCCTCTGTCATGCAGAGGGTGGGCCCTGGTGAGTGGATATTTACAAGTATCTTCACTGTTCCTGATGCCCACAGAATCAGGCTATGCCATGTGGGGATACGCATCCTACATGTACTCAGACCATGTGAACTGGTGATGGACCACACATGTGCCTGCCTGGCGACTCCAATTCACCCTCAGATCCACACCCCCGGAATAAACTCCCAGTCACTCTCACATCCCATATTTCTTTGTCATCTCTACCCCTCCCCAGACCATCTATGGACAGGCAGCGATGCCTTATTCGTATTTGGGTCCCCCAAATGCCTAGTGCAGTACCTGCCTAAAACAGGTGCTTTGAATGATTATTTTTCCTGAATACAACTTAGAATTCTGTGAAAATACCCGAGATCAGGAAAAAATGATTCAAGTTCATATTTTTAAAGTGGAATATTCATACTGCATCGTATATGTTGGTCAAGTGCTTCTGATTTGTGGACAGGATTTCTTGCTATCAGTGTGATTATTAGTTGCCGTGATTATAATAATGTATAGGTGATAGCACAGAGCCACGCCTCCCCAGCAGCATGGCTGGAAAGAGCCGGGTATTCCCTCCGCTGACTTGCTTCACTACTTGACTAACAGACCTTATTCCCTGGCCGAGCCGATGACATCCTGCCAATGCCAGGTTTCCAACACAGAGGGGAAGCAAGAGCAGGCGCTGTGCAATCCTGGGGGAAAAGCAGCCTGTGTTTGTGGCTGCTTTGACAGTTGAGGCTCCAAGAGGGGCTGGCAAACAATGGGAAATGAAACATTTGAGTAGTTGCAAAAAATTCCGTGGGAAATCCCCCCAGTGGTATTTATATGCAACGGCTGTGACAAGGAGAGCTCAGGGCTTTCGATTTCAAGGGCTTCTGAGCAGACCACAATGGTGTTCTGAGACAGCAGTCCCCAGGAACAGCTCTCCTGGGCCACCAAAGGCCAGCCTGTCTGTCCAGGGAAGATGTGGCCCCATACATGAAGTTGGCCATGAACTGCAATGGCTTGTTGGAGAGTCTGGTCCTTGAACCTTTTGCTCCTAAGGCAAATCCCTCTCAACTGTTCCTGTGGTTTCTCCTAGCCTCAAAATCTTGGGGCCTGATATGACTGAGGGCTTTCAGTCCCCGTCTACAGAAGTGTTGGAACCTCAGCCACCTTCAGACCCCCCCACCATCTAATTGAAAAATCCAAAATGGGGGCCTCATAGGCACTCCCTGTGTCATTATCTGGTTAGCATGTGGCCTCTTCCTGTTTTCTCCATTCCCATTTGTGATGGACATTTATTTTGTCTTTTACTCTCCCTCCACCCTCATTTAGAGAATAAAATGGACTGATATTTATTAATCCTTGTTTTACTTTCCTTAAAACTAATAAATATTCAAAATACCACTATTGCTAATATCTTATTGCTGCTGATGGTGTGATACGTGTTTATGAGTTTATAGATCCACTTAAAGATAAGGTCTATAGATTTTTAGAGACACTTGGAAGATGAGAAAATGGAAACTTAAAGACGGAAAGTAACTTGCCCATGTGTACTAGTCATGAGGTTTCAGCTGCAATGTGACAAAATCTTAACGTAAATGGACTTAAGCCAGATTGAAAATGGATTAGATTATTTAAGGCACACAGTCTGGATAAGCTTCAGGCATGGCTGGATCCAGGCCCTCAATTAAGCCTTCAGAAATTTGCCTCTATTTGGCTCTGCTTATTTCCGTATTGGTTTCATGTTTAGATTGGCTCTCTCCACCTATTTTATATCTTCCTGGAGTCAAATCCAGCCTTTCTCCTGGTTGCCTCCATAAAAAGTCCCAGGGTTAAGAGGTTCAGTGGGCTCTGATAGGTTCAGCTGCCCACTGCCACTATGATGGTGACTATAGTGAGGGGGATGGAATAATCTGAGTGCCCAGGCTCTGGTCCCTGCCAAAGCCTACCCAAACCACATGGACAGAGTGAGCGTGAGTGGTTCCCCAAAGAAAATCGGGGTGCTCTTATCAGGAGAAGGAGGAATGGACACTGGTGGGCAGAAAGACCTGATGTCCTAAACTCTCATGTCACTCTGTCACTAAGGGGCAGGCAGATCTGCACAAGAGCGCTGCTCTGCACCTTCCTTGTGTTGCTTGAAACCTCATGCTCCATCCTGCCCTGTGCCTCCAGCCCTGCCCCTGCTAAATGAATTCAGTCTAGTCAGTAGTTTTCAAAATGTACATCTTGGGAGCTGCTGGAGGGAGGAAGCCAGGGGAGGAGAGCAGGAAGCTGGGTGGCCCATGTCTATGGGACTCCCCTCCCCTGTTTCAGTCATCTAGCAATTTTTGTGTTCGTTTGCATATTCAGTTCCCTTGTACATTTTTATTTAAACGAAGGGCTTCCCAGATTTTTTAGGCTTGAAAACCATGATTTTTCTGGAACACTTGTCCTCTCACTCATTCACAAATGAGAAACAATAGCTCAGAAAGAGGCATGAACTTGACCAAAACCATGCAGCTTTTGCCATACAAGCCTGAGAAACCACAGCTCCGGATTCCCATCTCCTGTCCTTTGCACTTGCAGTCTTGCAGATGGGGGAGATTTGTGGGCAGAGACCACCACTCACACTCCTGTGTTACCTTCCTGATTTATTAGCCAACGATGCAGACCTTCACACAAGTGGAGCGCAGCTTCCCAGAGCCGAACAGGAAAAGGGACTTTGCAGTTTTTTTCTAGTCTCTAGGTTCCCTGCACCCGGGGCAGGCAGCTGCTGGGGACTCACTCTGTAGGTAGGATCCTGCCAGAACGGAGAAAAACAACCGGATTCCTGCTACTCCATCCTCAGACTTGGAGCTTACACCATTCCAGAAGAACTTACATGAGTAAGCCATGTGCTTCCGTTTAGGAGGATGTTTACAAACAACTGTTCTGTCCTCCCCCTATCTGCAAAGCCGGTCTCTGTGCACCAGGCTCTTCATGTATTTTAAACACAGTTTGTGCTGCACTGATCATTGCTAATCATCATAGCTCACCTTTTTGAGTGCCTCCTAAGTTCCTGGAACGGCGTGCTAAGCGCCTGACATGTATCGTTTCACTGAATCTTCCCAACAACCCTGTATAGTAGGTACTATTATTATCTTCATTTTACAAGTGCAAAAAAATGAAGGTGCAGAGAGATGAATGAATTTGTCTGAGGTCCTCCTCCAGGCTCAAATCCAGAAATGGGGGTCAAGAGAATGAACACTTAGTTACATCCCTATGCTGGTTACATTGCTGCTGGTTACATTCCTACTCTAGATACTTAATGTGTGCCTTGGACAAGGAAGATACAGGTTGTTGCCAACACCTGTGCACCGACAGAGAGAAAGTTCTCTGCTTCCTTGATGCCCTGCCTTCCACTGCCCGGGGGCTTCCAGCTGAGCCTGTTTTCCTTTTCCTCCCCTCTTACACTCACTTGCCTGGTGTCTTCAGCAAACACACACAGGGAATTACCAGGAGAGAATGATTCTATTACCAAGCAGGCATGGCTCCTAAGGTACCAGCCGAACACAGGTAAGTCAGGTAAGGAAAGGCACACGGTCTCATTACTTAGACTACTGTGCAGCAGCTTATTGAATTAGTGTGATTTTTAACGTCTTCAGCTTGGATCTCCTCCAGATCAGCCAGCTGGTGCATTCAGTACGACTCAGCTCTCCTTAACTCAATTAACTAAGCCGGGCTGAGCCGAACTCAACAAGTATTTCTAAAGCACTGAGCTGGCTGCAGGGGAAAAAAAACACAAAGGCAGGCAAGATGCTGACTTGGCCTTTAAAGAGTTGCCTTGTGCCTTTAGTAAATAATATGGTGCCATATTTTCCAAGTACCACTTTCATAATTTTGCCATATCTGCACTCCATGTGTGTTATTATTTACTTTATTTTAAAAAATAAATTAACTTACCTTTTCAAATTTAAATAAGTTAAATTTTTTAGTTATTGAGATGAAGTTGACATACCATAAAATTAACCATTTTAAAGTGAATATTTCAGCACAACTTAGTACATTCACAGTGTTGTGCAGCCTCCACCTCTACCCAGTTCCAAAATATTTTTATCACCCAAAATAAAATCCCATAACCGTTAAAAGCAGTTACTCCCTATTCCTCTCACTCTAGCCTCTGGTGACCACCAACCTGCTTTCTATCTTGATAGGTTTGTCTATTCTGGATATTTCACTTAAGTGGAATCATACCATATCCTTTGGTATGGTATGATCATACCATGTCCTTTGGTGACTGGTTTCTTTCACTTAGCCTAAAATTTTTGAGGTTCATTTGTGTTGTAGCATGTGTCAATATATCATTTGCTTTTATGGATGAATATATTCCATTGTATGGGTAGACCACAATTTGTTTATCCATTCATCGATTGGTGGATATTTAACCTGTTTTGCATCTTTTGGCTATTGTGAATAGCACATTTATTTTAACAGGAAAATTTACATAACTTCTATAAATAGAAAACCATTATTTTTCTAATATACAATAAAATAGATACCTAACTGTGTACTGGACATAAAATTTTCACCTGTGTAGCATATAAAATAATCCTGTGAACTCTCAGAGGCAGCAGGCCAGGATCTGGGAGTTTGAGTTTTTTCCCTTTTTCTCTGGCAGCTGGCCGTAAGGGGGATCCAAACCCTTAAACCTGGGTGTTATCAGCACCACACTCTCCCAAGTGAGCCACCAACCAGCCCAGATGTGAGTTTTATTTTTATTTATTTGTTTTTTAAAAAAGATGACCGGTAAGGGGATCTTAACCCTTGACTTCGTGTTGTCAGCACCACACTCACCCAAGTGAGCTAACCAGCCATCTCTATATAGGATCTGAACCCGTGGCCTTGGTGTTATCAGCACCACACTCTCCCAAGTGAGCCACCAACCAGCCCAGATGTGAGTTTTATTTTTATTTATTTGTTTTTTAAAAAAGATGACCGGTAAGGGGATCTTAACCCTTGACTTGGTGTTGTCAGCACCACACTCACCCAAGTGAGCTAACCAGCCATCTCTATATAGGATCTGAACCCGTGGCCTTGGTGTTATCAGCACCACACTCTCCCGAGTGAGCCACGCGCTGGCCCCCAGGCCAGGAGTTTTAATCCTGCCTTTGCTATCTGTGTGACTCTGGGCAAATGTCCTGTCCTCCTCCAGCCTCAGTTTCCTCATCTGTAAAATGATCGTATTTATCATTGTTTCCTCCTATAGTTGTGAGAATTACAACTCACAACGTGAGTGAAGTGCATAGCATCATGCTGGGCATGTCATAAGCCCTCAGTACATGCAGGCTG